AGAGTGTCTTAGTGCTAGAGCCCCTCCCAGGTGGCACTGGTTGCGTGCGGAATCTTTTCATGTCCCTGCACATGCATGGCGGGCTCGAGCTGGTGGCTGCAGGACCCCCGCCCTGTGCAGCGTGGCCGCCCTGTACCCAGTGCCTTTTGCTGCTGACAACACAATTCTGAACTTTTAGGATTATGCTAACAATTTTTTTAAATACACAAGAGGTGATCTTTTGTCTTAAACCACATTACGGATTTTATAATGCCCTGCAACTCTAAAGCATCTTTTTGTTTACACATTTTTTGTATGGTATTTTGAGATTATCATTTAAAAATTTCTATAAACTTCAGTTTGTATAGCACTTTCTCAAGAGCTCTGTCAGCACCAAATGCAAAATAATTTCTTTTAATAAGTGATTTTAACATGTAATCATGTGGCAGAGCATACATTTTGTGACTTGGGACAGTAGCTTTCCAACTCAGATAATTAATTGCATGAACTCTGGTAAAACTGATCATCATTCATCAATGACTTGTTTTTAACCCCTTGCAATATACCTGGTTTTTACAGGACTTAAATATATGTAAAAATAACTTTTCTTGGAAAATGTGTCACAAAGTCATTTTTCATTATTTCTACTAAATGCATAATGTTTTATATATTCCTTTTGTATGTTTTCTCTCTCTCATTCTTTTTTTTTTAAGTCTTCCGTCTGCACCACCCTCATCCCCTGTCCAGATTAATGTTGAAAACATAATAGAATTTTGTAGGGCATGTCTTTAAGTGGTCAGGAGTGAAGGTTTGCTTTTCATAATATTGAAATAATCTGGCATTATCTATTTCAAAGTAATTTGTTTATTTTTATGTCACCAGTTGTCACCACTCCCATTGCTGGCAGTGGGATAGGTGTTGGGGAAAAACTCTTTTCCTAACAATGGGTACCCGCTAGTGATTCCCTTTTCTACTCTCTGGAAATACAGTCCCTTTAATTTTTGCACAAAATATATTTTGTGTCAAATAGTCTTTAGTAGCAGAAAAACCATGTTATATAAAATGTTGTAGTTCTATTTCACATTAATTAAATGTGTGTGGGTAAAAGTTTGTTATTTTTCTACATTAAAAAAATCTGATGATGGTTGCAGTTCCCCTGATATTTGTAATATAATTTTATGTATTTAGTTTTGTCCTTTTTTTTAAAACAAGAACTGAAGAGAGATCTTTGTTACACATTTGAATTTTTAATTTGCAATTCTGTATTTTACCTAACCAAAATTAGTCATTTTAAATAATTAAGTAGGCCTGAAAATCAGCCACAAGTGGTATGTTACTTTCTCAATTCTAAAAACCTTCAAAATTGACATTATATTCTTTCACCTTGAGGCCTTTAATTCTTTTAAATAACTTAACTACTGATTTCTAATGAACCATGGATGCTGAAGAAATACTAAGACCCCGGGACGTTGTGCATTTGTGCAGTAATAGCTTTCGTATGTCGTGGCTCATTTTTGGCTGTGGTGTGGCTGCCGTGTCTCAGAGTGCTCAGGATTCCTTTTCCTCTTTCAGTCTGCCTTTCGAATTAATAGTGTACAGAATAGGCCACATAAGGCGATATAATTAAATAAAACCAGGCTAAATGGTTTCCTTTTTATCTGCCCAAAGTTGACAGCACTCATGTACTTCTTCAAAATAAAGTAAAACTAACACTATCATCAGAAGAGCCCCTCCCCATTGTGGCCGCAGTCCTGTGCTGTCTGGGTGCCTCAGACGCTGGCAGCGCAGTGCTTGGGAAGAACTCACTGATGGGCTCCACTGTGCCCAGGGCTCCAGGGCTTGGGTCTCCTCTGGAGATCCTGGGATGGGGAAGTGGCCTTAGGACCTGACACCCCAACTTAAAGGGAACTACTTTAATGTAAAATATTGTTAATTTTTCCCCTCCTTTTTAAAACCTCTGAAATAGTTACTGGTAACTTGCTAAAGTGCTCTCGTTACTGTTACGGTATCTGTTTCTCTGAAAACAAAATGAACTGACAGGTGAAAATCTGTCCCACACTGCAGTCATCTAATGAACAGAGAAAGTCTGGGCTGATGTGAACAGGAAGGGGAGGATTTCCAGATGCTGACGGTCTTTGGGAATGTGAGAAAAACTTGGTTGTCTGCTGAATTTTCAAAAAGCTGATAAAGAAAAAGATGGCACAAAAAGAAAATCTTCTATCTCACAGTGAACCTAATGATAGCAAATTAGTCTGATAAATCAAGAGGCTTTTACCAGTTATCAGTGAGAATTAATGTTTCCCATGAAAGAATAGATTTAAATAAGGTGAACTTGGGCTGGCATCAAAACTATCATGAATGTCATCAGATTGTAATTGCTTTTTATGAAGAAACATATAAATATATAAAACCAATCTGCAGCTTGACTGTTTTTTTTTCTTGCAGTGTGAAAGAATACCTATCTTTTAATGAAAATTGAATCTGATATATTCATTCTGAAGTAGTATTTGGAGAAGCTAAAGTTTTTGTGTATCAATAGCACTAGTTATTTTGAACAAATAAAAGTGTACTATAGTTGCTGCACTTATCACAGATAAAAGAATAATCAATACACTGGTCAACCTTGTTAGTGAACAAAATGCAATCTAAATTAAGGTATTTAATATTAGAAAAAAATAATGCTGAAAAGCTCTCAGTGAAACAGCAACTTTTTAATTATTGAAGACAGTATAAATTGATATAACTCTTATACAAAAAAACTTTGGAAACATATCAGGCCATGAAAATGTATATACCCTTTGACCCACCCTTTGACCCAGGAAAACCGATTGCTGGGAATTTATACAAAGAAAATCAAAAACAAACAAAAGAAGGAAAAAGCTCTACATACACAAATATGTTGCAGTAATAAGCAACAAACTGGAAACAACCTAAATGTCCAGTAAGGGGAATGGGTAAATTGTACAACTACATGGAATAGAGGTTCTTAAGTTGAGAATTAAAAGCAGACTTTAAAACAGTATTTAATTTTTAAAGGCAAGTTACAACATTGTATTTCTGTAATGATTAAAAATTTAAAGAAATGATGCATTTGGAAAAAGATGAAGTGGATATACCTTATACAGTTCAGAGTGGTAAAATTAGAGGTGAAGTTTCTCACATTTTATGTCATGTTTTCACGTATTATCAAGAAGTACATTCATATTATGAGATGCATAAATGTTTAAGTTCAAAATAATTTGATGTCTAAAAAACCTGCTGAATGAAAGAGAAGACACAGGGAAGGTTCCCTTCCGTAATTCCAAGCTCACTGCCTGGCTCACAGCAGATGCGTGGTCAGTGTGTGCCCGTGTGTCTTTGCAAAGCCCAAGAGAGAACCATGCCCAGCTAGTGCCCTAGCTGAGCACTTATTTCCCCCACATACTAAGTGTTCACCCACAGAATAGTAAAATATATATATATATATATATATGAGGTGCTAGATCCTAGTATAAGAAGTCAATCTAAAAACTTCTAGAAAGGCAATCAAAATATTTCTAGTTTTAATTGTTATTCACAAATTAACAACACTAACAAACAGAACTAGTTATCACTTAAGATAGTACGTTATCATTTTTATATGATTATTTATAAGGGCTCTTAGGTTGGAACACTAGTTGAATCTGCTTTCAGTGTTTTGTAGCAGGGTTTTGGAAGCAGCCCCTTTAGAATGCTCCAGCAGCTTGATGGCCTTGTCAGAGTTTTCAATGTTCCTAAGCAGGGTCTCTAGTCTTCTCTTAATTTTCTTCTGATCCTCGAGAGCACAGCCGATCACGATGGACTGGAACTTCTGATCCACCGGCCCTGCAGGCACCTCAGAGGAACACGCGCTGTACAGTGACATCAGGTGACTCTTGGCATTTCCCAGATCATCCAGAAACTTACTGACCACCTCATCAATGACCCTGGTGGCGTGCTTGAGGGACTCCTGCTGCTGGGGGTTCCTAATTGTTTCTACTGAAACTTCCACAGTCAGGGTTCGTCCCATCAGACGGTTTGCAGTCAGATTTAATTCTTCTCTTTCTCCTAATCATGAAAAGTTTGAAATATCAATCAATATGAGACATACACGCATCTATGTCAAGAACACTAAGGTATCTTTGTGTGGCTGAATCTATCCTGTGAGCACCTATGAATTTCTTAAAGATACAAGTTAAAACTACAGCAATAAGATTAATTTATAAAGAGTATCAGATTGGACGCCAGATGATTCTGTGGTTGTCACGTCTGCAGAAGCTGGGGCAGGTGTGCGTCTGTAACTGGGGCTTTGTGCTGGTTAGAGCAGGAGACTGGATGCCCTGGATCTACTTGAGGATATGCATTAGAGGAGGGAGATAACTTTCCCTTTACCTTTCTGAGCTTTTGGCCGAGACCCTCCTATAATAAGATAGATTAACAAGAAAAAAATCCAGAAGCTTACTGACATGTATACCCCATGTATATACATGGGAGATCCCCAGGGAAACTGAGTAACTCCCTGAGATGGCCCAGCCTCCACCCAAAATACCCTCAAGCTAGAGAAGGTGAGGATGGAGGGAGGCAAGTTCTGGAGGTTCCCAGAAAAGGCACGATAGACAAAGGTAAGGTTCTTATGTAGATTTAGTAGGTGCCTTCTCCACTGGTGAAGGTTTCTTGTAGTTTTGTCATCCTCCTCTTCCTGGTAGAAAGGGAGACACCCTTACAAATGATTTCCTTTACAAAATGTAAATGTAGATTTCCCTTACAAAACAGTGACTTCTACTGTTTTCAGAGCTTCTCCTCCTGTGTCTGCAGTTTCTCAAAAAGAGCCAATTTGGAATAATCCTTAGGCCAGAGAGGCATATTTCGGGGCCTCACATTCTGTGTGTGTATCAATACAATGCCCCGATTCTGGCTGAAAAAAGCCATGACACGGGAGGAAAAGCTGGCCTCAAAATGAGGCACTGACTTCATCCCCTCCAGACTAATTTAGGCCAGTAGTCTGAGTCTTGGCCAGTATGAAGAGGGTGCTGGGTTATCATTTCACTATTTATATGGAAAGCAGCAACCTGTCCTGCTCTGTAACCACCTTCCCAATTCACTGCTCTACGGCCAGGACAGTGAAGAGACACACTAGATCTTGACCCCTCTGAGGATGTGTGACAGTGTGGGTGTGGGCCGGGATGCACACTTAACCGCACCAGCTGCTCGGCCCACAGGCCGGTCCTGTGCGGCCCCAGGGGAGCCCGGTTAGGAGGAGCACCGCCCACTGGTGCAGAGCATCACAGGCCACCCGGCCCTCCTGTGGAACGGGGTTCAGTGGGTCCATAATCTGTTTTCTCTGCCTTTCTCCCCTTCCCCTCTGTACGTTACACCTCCTTTCATCTCCTTTTGTCTTCTCTGCTGCCGACCTTGTGCCTGTTTCCTCTGCTGTCAAATCCTGCCCGGCCGTCTCTGCTGGGCTGGAGGAGCGGCTCTGTGGCACCCCCGCCGCCCCCCCCACCGGCCCCAGGAGGGGCCCTCACCGTCGCTGATCTGCCGCATGTCCTGGCTGTTCTGGATGCTGTGGATCATCTCCAGGAGGACCTCCTTCTCCTGTTCCACAGCCGTGGCTGCTTCCCGAAGAGCCTCCACCCTGCGGAGTGCGGGGGACAGGACAGTTACTGGAGGGAAGCCGCGTCTTCCTCATCTCTCCACTGCTCAGTCCAGCTCAGGTGTAACAGCGATTAGGAACACTTCCCAAAAACTCCTTACTCCTTTCTATTTTTTATTCTGTAATTGTTTTCTTTTTAATCCACTTGCCCTGTGGCTCCCAGTTTCCTCCCCACTCACAGGGCACTCATTCTATTTAGTGTTTATTGATTTGTATTCGTTTTTTACAAAACAATCTGCACTCATGTACTTGTCTATTTTCAATTTATTTATATCTCACTGTTTCTTTCTTCACTCAGCAGCATACTTTATTAAGAATCACCAGGTTCCTGTGTCCCTCACCTGATCTGCCCTCCCTGGCCCAGCGGAGACACGCCCTGTCCCCCAGCTTCTGCTCACTACCCGTCCACAAGTACCCTTCCCTTTATGGCCCTGATAAGAGGATCCATCAGGATCCTTATCAGGATCTAATCAGGATCCTGATAAGAGGATCCACTATGTCTCAGTGGAACTGCTAAGACATAGGGTGTGTGGACTGTCATCTGACTCCACCCTGGATTGTTCTCCAGAATGGCCGGACCTCGAGTCCCTGTGTCCCGACAGCCCTACCAGCACTCAGCATCTCCCAACTTTCTAACCATCTGTTGCCAGGCTAACAAGTGATATGTCAGTACTTAATCTGCATTTCTTTCATTGCTAATAATTTTGGACATCTCTTTGTATTCTTGTGAGCTTGTTCACAAACTTTACCTACTTTTTCTTTTTTAAACTGGGGTTACTGTCCTCTTGGTGATTTGGTGACAGACACTGTGACCATCTTCTCCCATCCTACCCTATATGATCTGTGTCTGGGAGGTCCTTCACTGAACAGAGAGCCTTATTTTGAAGTGAAAAGTAAAAAGATCCATCTTTTCTTGGTTTTGTTTTGCCTTGGCTCATACTGTGAAGTTTTGTTTCAGGGTCCTCCCATCCCTAGGTCAGGACATACTTTCCTACATCTCCTTCTATTAACTTGTTTCACTTTTCTCATACTTATGTCTTAATTCATCTAGAATCCACCTCTGTATATGGTTAGGTAAGGATTTAACCATTTTCCCCAACATTATGTACCCCAAATCTGTCTTTCCCTCAAAGATTTGTAGATTGTCTGCCTCTGAAATCTCTATTCCATCCAGTAGTATTTTGACTGTTCTTACACCAACACCCATTTCTTAAAAATAGCACCAGCTTTGTTTGTGATATGCCTTAGTATCTGGTAGACCAGTCCTCTAATCTTTTTTTTTTTTTTTTTGACTGTGTTGGGTCTTCATTGCTGAGCGTGGGCTTTCTCTAGTTGTGGTGAGCGGGGGTTACTCTTCCTTGTGGTGCGCTGACTTCTCATTGCGGTGGCTGCTCGTTGCAGGGCACAGGCTGCAGGCACGCAGGCTTCAGTAGTTGTGGCACATGGGCTCAGTAGTTGTGGCTCGTGGGCTCTAGAGCGCAGGCTCAGTAGTTGTGGTGCACGGGCTTAGTTGCTCCACGGCACATGGGATCTTCCCGTGCTAGGGCTCGAACCCGTGTCCCCTGCATTGGCAGGCAGATTCTTAACCACTGTACCACCAGGGAAGTCCCCAGTCCTCTAATCTTTAAAAATAACATAGCTATTTCGACTTTTATTCCTCCATAGACTCTAAAGTAAGTTTATTGGGTTTCTCAAAAAACTGGAATAATTAGACACCTTTAGAACATTGTCAGTTCCTCTAAGGGTGTCTCCTTCATCCAGACCCTCCTCTACATTCTTTATTAGAGTTTTGAAGTATTCTTGATGGTAGTCTTACAGACTCTTTTAAGTGTTTTGAATATTTTGGATATTGTTACTATTGTGAATAATATATTTACATATATACTACATTTTATAGTTGGCTATTGTTGATTAGAGAAATGCTGTTTTGGGTAGGTTCACGTCATAACTGGCAACCTTCATTTACACTTATTCATTTTTAATGGTTTTTAAATTTCTGTTAGTTCTTCTGGATTGTTGATCATTTCATCTACAAAAAACGAAAATTCTCATCTCTTCCTTTTCAATCCTATCAGCTCCAATTTTTCTTTCTTAAATAGCACTGACTAAACTCCTCCTGTGCGATATTAAACAGTGGCGCTAAGAGATGGCATCTTTGTCTTTTCCCGAATTTAAAGAGAATGCTTCTGTAGGTTTTTGGTGTAAAGCCCTGATAACCCCGCAACTATACACACATGCACTTACTACACAGACACACGAACACAACCAGTGACTAAAGAACAAGGCTGTGAAATTAAGAAGAGCGAAAGAAAACAAAACAAAGTCCTGTGTGTTTAAAGTGCTGTTTCCAGGGCACTTTCTCATTTTTTTTATTACACCACAACTAAATAAGTTGCCAAGTGTTGCAAAATAAATAGTGACAGACCTACCTCCAGTACTCAGATGCTCTTGGAAACACAGATCACAAGGAGATCTAATCTCTTCTGTCTTCCTGGGCACGTGTTCTAGCATGTGTTCCTGCCACATGAAGAGGCCCTCACCCCAACCACACACACGCCTTTTCCCCTACAGGCACCCACCTGTTATCCCCCAAAATAGCACCGACACACTGTACAGTCACAGGGTCTCGATTCTCAAGATACTAAATACATTGTTGGATTCTGTGTTTATAAGAGCCAGTAGAAGCAAAGAGCTCGTACGAATCTTATGTGACAAATTTGGCTGGAAAGCACAATCAAAACCAATATTCTATAAAACAGTAAACACACAGCATCAGGCTGCCTTCCAGCCCCATTCATTATGTGCTTACACATTTCACACAAGCAGACTCTCAGGGCCCGGGACACATGAAAAGGGGTCAGGTTGTCACTAACATGAAACATTTGTGCAAAAACACAAATGTGACTCTAGTATTTAAATGGCACAGATGAGTCATTTGATTGGTAAATGAGATGATACTGAAAGAAGAGATTAATTTTCCAGCACTCCTGAGTTTATATTCAAATGTAAGATGATAAAGAGAATTGTTACTCTAAAGAAGAATGCTCCATTTATGATAATAAGTTATACTAGTAAGTTCATGAAGTTAACAAGAAAATCGTTTGAAAGGAGACACTCTAGAAAAAATATAATAAATCTGTCATATAAAGAAGATATTTTGTCATTAAATGAGATCAAATATAGAGGCAATTAGATGGAACTTTTTTTTTTTTCCCACAAGGCTAGAAATTGCCAGGGCATTTTCCCTGTGAAAAACAGATTTCATCTTTTATAGAACTTCTTAGATATGATTTTATGTAAACCTTTTTCATTTCATAGCAAATGTAAAATTTCATTCTTCAGGATGTAAAGATTCCCAGGGGTTTTTTGGCATCTTGGCCCTTTCATCTTCTGTCCCCCGATTCCTGAACATTCTTTGTCCCTGGCCCACGTCTACTGAGCGATCCTTTTTCAAAACCCAGTCCTTCTGGCAGGAACTGTTTCCTTAGCAGCTTCCTCCTTCCCCTCCCCTGAGGCCGTCAATACTACATCTGTCTAGTGTATGGACATCACATACTTAGTTTTTTCTTTTAAAAAGCTGAACCTACATCTCTACTTAGTCTGCTTAAGTCATATTTATCAGCTATTGGTCTCCTTAAATTCAATTCATATACACATTTTTTTGTCTACATTAGTTCTAGAAAACTGTTAGCCATTAAACCTTCAAATATTTCCCACCTGCCCTTCTATGATTTCTCCTGGAACTCTGTTCAGAGGCGTGTTGGACCAACTCACTTTATCCTTCACGTTCCTAACACATCACTTGACAACACTCCTTGGCAGAGAGGGGCAGCTCTGGTTTTACCAGCAGATCCTGCAAGAGCTACATGTCCAAATTGGGAAAGAACTGATCCTCATGGCAAGGCTGGCCCGGGCTGCACTCCTGGAAAACCCTCTGCATGAAATCACAACTAAGCTTTAACAGAGAGAACCTGTGCTCAGAACGTTCCCGCGAGGACAAATGTGGAGCACACACATCCTCGGCTGGTCCCCGGGGCCCAGAGATCGAAGCCTGGGGACCAAGGGACAAGGTGCTGGGAGGTGGCCTCCCAGGCCAGCCACCCCGGCATGTGCTCCGTGCCACGTGCGGGGACTGCAAGGGCCTCAGTCCTGCCGCTCAAGCCAGAGCTGCTGCCACTTACCAGCTGAGTGACCTCAAGTAGTTACTTACATTCTCTTTGCCTCAATTTCCTCATTTACAAAACGGGGATCATGAGATGGTGTGACTGAATGACGTAAAGCAGGTAAAGAGTTTAACACAGTGACTGACAGCATTGACTAAACAAGCTATGAGTTAAAAGAGATGCAGTACCCGTGGATACGGATGGCCAACTCCGACACCATTTTACAGAAAAGATTTGAGCATCTGTGGCTTCTGGTACCCCACAGGCCCTGGAACCAATCCCTGCAGACACTGAGGGACCACTGCATGCAGTCCATGCCCAGAACTGGTGCCTTGAACGCTAGCTTCCTGGTCGTTATTACATGCTTCCATTATGAACTCAGGCTTGTAAATAACAAGAATTGTGCTTTCATCAAAAGGGGAAATGGCAAATGGACTTATTTCAAAGAAATTACTTCTAAAACAGGTTCTTAAAATCATAGTCCTGTTTCTTATTCAAAATTCTTATACCAAAAGAATACTACAGAGACTTCCCCGGTGGCGCAGTGGTCTCCAATGCAGGAGACACGGGTTCGAGCCCTGGTTTGGGAAGATCCCACATGCCGCAGAACAATTAAGCCTGCGAGCCCCAACTATTGAGCCCGCGCGCCTAGAGCCTGTGCTTCGCAACTAGAGAAGCCACCGCAACAAGAAGCCCGTGCACAGCAACAAGACCCAACATGGAGAGGAGAGGGGAGGGGACGGGAGTGGAGGGCAGGGGAGGGCAGGGGAGGGGAGAGGAAGAAGAAGGATACTACAAAGATCACTTATATTTTAGGCAAGGTTAAGATTTTGAAGGGCTCCCTAATCATCACCAAAATGATAAATTACATTCACTACTGAGACACTCTGGTGTAAAAAAGGGTCCATGCTTTAGTGTCAGGAGCTACTCATGAGCAGGATGGCCTCAGACCGGCCACTCAGTCCCTCTGGACTGGATTCGCTCGCTTCTAAAGGAGGGAACATATGTCCTCCTCCTGCCTCAGAGGGTTTTGGAAGGTTCACATGACAATGTCTACAAGAAGTGATCTTTTAAATTACAGGCTCTTATACAATATTAACTGTGGTGCCATCTTGTCTTGTGGCTCCTGGGACGTTGGTGCAGTGAAACTGTCAGCTAAATGACCACATCTGCCCTTGCCCCATCCTTCATTCCTTGGCTGCCATGGAAGCCATGGTGACTGGCTGATGGCAGGGGAGGGAGCCACAATAGGACGAGTTTGGGGACATCTGTGAACAGCTAGTCTCCCAGTCCTGTCGTTCCCCTTGGCTGTTCTCCACACCCCACGTCCCAAGCATCTTCACTACCATCCAGAGCCTTCAGGGGCCACTCAACACCCTGCACACAGCAGGTGTTCAATAGTCCCTGAGATCAGGGACTCAGGGACACCAATCTAAGTGGAATTTTCACCTCTCAGTAAAATCATATACTATTCCTACATTTTTGAAATATGACATACTTAACTCTAAGAAAATTCAGGCATAAAGTATTAAGCTCTACAGCCAGTCTTCCTGGGTTCCAGCTGTGTGACCTTGGACGGGTCATTTAACTTCTCAAGCCTCAATTTCCTGCCTGAAGAACAGAGGTGACGGTAATTTCCACAAAGGCATGGGGCCTGCAGAGTCAGTGCCCATTAACTAAATAACTGTTAGTGGGTATCATTTATGAATTATGATCACTGTTAAATTAGTAACAATCATAAGCAAAGTGTTTAGAGCCACTGACGAATGGAAAAATCAGACACCATTTGAATTGGTCATGAAAACCGGGAGAGAAAGGCATCACCTTTTTAGGAGGAAGCAAAAAAGGTGAGCTGGAGTCAAAAAAGAAAGGCTAGTGTCATGCTAATATATTAGAAACAAATGGAGTTTCTTTAATGATTTGTCAGATGCTGCCAAACACCTGAAAGCACTTTAAACACCATGGACATCAGTTCACAAGGCAGGTCATAAAGCAGTGAGCATAATTCTATTTTCAGTTTCATATGGAAAAAGTTCTGCCACAATTGACAAAACTAGTACAGTGGGGGAACAGTAAACACCAGCTTCTAGGTACAGCCTGTAATTTTCACCCTACTTAGTACCCTGCCATCCTCAATATGAAATTAAACTATTAGATAAGATGACATATGAATGTTACTTTTTTTTTTTTTTTTTTTTTTTTTTTTTTTTTTTTTGCGGTACGCGGGCCTCTCACTGTTGTGGCCTCTCCCATTGCGGAGCACAGGCTCCGGACGTGCAGGCTCAGCGGCCATGGCTCACGGGCCCAGCTGCTTCGCGGCATGTGGGATCTTCCCGGACCGGGGCACGAACCCGTGTGCCCTGCATCGGCAGGCGGACTCTCAACCACTGCGCCACCAGGGAAGCCCCTACATTTTCTTTTTAAACTTGATCTTATAGGCATGATTCTATCAACAGTTTCTTTTTTTTTAATTTAATTAATTTATTTATTTTTTTGGTTGCGTTGGGTCTTTGTTGCTGTGCACAGGCTTTCTCTAGTTGTGGCAAGTGGGGGCTACTCTTCTTTGCGGCGCACGGGCTTCTCATTGCGGTGGCTTCTCCTGTTGCAGAGTATGGGCTCTAGGTGCACAGGCTTCAGTAGTTGTGACATACAGGCTTAGCTGCTCCGCAGCATGTGGGATCTTCCTGGACCAGGGCTCGAACCCATGTCCCCTGCATTGGCAGGCGGATTCTTAACCACTGCGCCATCAGGGAAGCCCGGCATCACTTTTTTTTAAAAGGAAGAAACAAAGCTCACAAAAGTCTAAAATTACTAGAAAAGGCCCTAAAATGAACAATTAGACACATATTAATCTTTCTTAGCTCAAGGGTTAATTCAGCAAGTTATTATTTAATCACTTGCACATGGTAATCAGAATTCACTTTACATTAATGAAGCAATGGAATAATATTCAAAACCAGAGGCTTCTTTTTAAAGATGAGTACTTGACTGCTTCTGTACCTACCCTATGTGAGGCACCAAGTTTGAGGAAAGTGAATCAGCTTGAAGAAAGGAGGGGGCAGCATCGCCCCTGTTCCTTTAAGAAAACATCCTTTCCTTCTAACTAGGGGAGAGAGACCCCTGAAATGGTTGAGAACATGCCCTCAAAGTTCTAAAGACCAGAGGAGACGCTGACGCACTTGTTTCGCTGCTACATAAAAAGAAATCATAATCTTCCCAGGGACACTAGTTTTGCTCCATCTGGTCCAGCTAGTTCCATCTGCCTCATTCCAAGCAGGACCCCTCTATTACTCTCCGTGAAATCATGGTGGTGGAGAACTTATTTTCTGAGAAGACATCGTTTCTTCCCATGATGATAATAATAATAAACATGTATATAATAATGACAATTTAAACATATATATTAATAAATGATAATAAATTATTCACTTGGTTATTAATGTACTTTATTGGCAAACAGACCCCTTGTTTTGGTATATTAATCCAGGGAGATAAAGACATATATGCAATGCTTCTTAAAATTTTTGTCTTACGTACTCCCTTGCTCACCCAGAACCTGGTGAAAACTATGAGAAAAAAATTCCTTGTGGTTTCAGGGAGTTGTGGGTGCCTCAATATGATTTTCCTGTAACTTACACCTGCACACAACTTACACAGTAACTTTAGTGACATAAACAGTTACAGGAAGTACATACAAGTTTTCATTCACTGTTAAAGGAAAAATAGTGTTTCCCAAATTTCTTAGAAATTATTTAGGAATTCCATACAAGCCAGCCACTACATTTGCCACTAAGGAGTGCCCGTGGTGCCCGGTTCTACAGGAATTGACAGCACAGCCTGGAAAGAATTCAGGAGAAGAGCAGGAACGAGGCACTCAGAGCTCTGGGAAAACCAGCAGAACAGGCACTCAGAGAGATTTTCAGGAAGAATCTTAGGAACACATTCTTGCATCTTCCCAAACTCAGAAAAACACTCAAACCATTAAGGGAGACATCTGCTCCTGGTCAGCAGTAACCTGTCACCCAAATGCGCGCCTGTGTGCGCGGGCCCTTCTCTAAAGTCACATTCCTGGGACCTCAGCGCTGGGACCGTCCCCCACCCCCCACCCCGCAACTTCCCCCAATAGAACTCAGGCTCTCACCTTGCACGTGTTTATCGCAATGGGCACACTGATTACTTAATAATACCGTCATTAAGAAGGGAAAACTGACTCGTGTTCTCAGGCCAGTGACCAGCATTTGGAAGGTGTGAGCGGCGACCTGGAGGAGCCCCCCCCCCCCCACACACACACGGGATGAAAGTAGCTGGGGATCAGGTGGATTTTTATATTTTGCAAAGACATCGATCATTCACAACGGTGACCACTAAACTGCCGCCTGTCCTAGAAATACACTATGGGAAAAGACTGGGCCGGAAACACCTGGCCCCCACACGGAACGTTCCAGAAGCTCTGCGGACGGGCAGTGTCACAGCCCCTATGCCGAGTAACGTACCCGTAACTTTCCCTTCTCGGTTCTCACGCTCCCGGCGCTCGGGTCTGGAGCTGCGAAGGAGCGTGGCCGCCAGAGCGTGCGGAGCCGCTGACCCAGAACACGGCCGCTCCTGTGAAGGGACCCGCCGACCCAGCGCGGCCCTCCGCGGGGCCCGGGGCAGCCCAGCTCCCCTGCCAGCCGCTCCCCGCTGCTCGCGCGCTCCCTGCTCTCGGTCCCCGCGCGCCCTCCGCAGGCTCGGAGGGCCGGCCCGCGCACCTGAGCTCCAGCTGGTCCAGGCTCTCCAGCAGGCGGCTGGAGCGGTCGGCCATGGACGAGGAGCGGCAGAAGCGGCCCTCGTTGGCCTTGGCGCTAATCCTCGCCTGGGCCATCGGCGTCCGGCGGGCGGCCCGAGATCACTGCCTTCCCCGCGTTCCACCCGCCTCCTCTGACACGCCGCCCGCGAACCGGGGAACCGGGAACCGGGCGCGGGTGCACGAGAGCCGGCTGCTGCTCTGTCCGGAGCGGGGGCGGCCTCGAGGGCGGCGCGGCGGGGAGGCCTTTCTGGGCGCGGGGACGCGTCTCCGCCCCGAACACCGCTCGAGGCGGAGCCCGCAGCCCCGGCCCCGCCCCGCAGGGGCTCCAAGGGGAGCGGGCTCGGGCTGTGCTGGGGTTGAAAGGGCCCTTCATGCAACCGCGGCCGCGGCTGCTGGGCACTTTCCCGAGATGAGAACAAGGAGCCTGGAGGCCACAACTGAAGCTGATAGATGTACGGAGCAAGCTGAACCTCTTTTTTTTACTCCCGCTCTCATGAAGGCATTTTTAATGACTCTTTTGTATTAAAAAGTTACTGTTTGGGACTTCCCTGGTGGTCCAGTGGGTAAGACCGTGATCCCAGTGCAGGGGGCCTGGGTTTGACGCCTGGTGGGGTAACTAGATCCCCACGCATGCCACAACTAAGAGTCCGCATGCTGCAAGAAAGATCCCACCTGCTGCAACTAAGACCGGGGGCAGCCAAAATAAATAAAGTACCAAAAGAAAAGATGATTAAGAAAGGAATTTTGGTAAAGCACGCACACATGTTTAAAAAAAGTTATTGGTTGGAATTTGAGTGAAATTATTATTATTTAAGGCCATTTCACACCCCACTTATTTAAATCTCCAGTTATGAAAAGACGCAGTAGACCACTTACTTGGTCAGACATTATAAAGGTCAGTGAGTGGAATGGGGCTGGGAGTAAAGATGTATCGACTTAAATACTTGCGCTTTGCTCCCATCTCATTATAGCTCTGTCTCTAAGGATGAGAATGTACAGGACACCTGAAATAGAGATAACAGTTTAAAGCTGCATCACAACCTTTAATCTGAGATCAAAGCCATTGAAATAATTGAACAGAGATGAGGCCTTTAAGGCTGGATCCCAATTCCTCTGAACTCTAAATACCAATAAACTGTTGCTGTAGGAGATTATCTGACCTCATTAAATGTTTTGTCCTATCACGACACCTGGAATCTTTAGACATTTTGTGAATGGTCTGAAAGTCTATCACGTAGCTTTGGAAACCTGCTGGACTCTCTTTCTCTCACACCCTAGACCCAGTGGGCTCCACCTTCAGAGAACACCCAGGCCTACTCCCACTTGCCTGTCCCCACTCTGCTACTCAGGTCTCGGCCAGCATCACTTCTCTCCTGCATCACCGCGATACCCTCCTACCTGGTCTTCCTGCTTCTGCTCTCATGTCTATGCTCAGCACAGCAGCTACAGTCATCCTTCTAAATAAGGCGCATCACACCACTTCTCAGAAACCTTCAGCGGCCCTTCGTTTGTGAAATGGGTAAAAGCCAAGGTCTTCGGAAGAGGCCTCAGAGGACTCCATCTCCTGTTGCTCTCTGAGCTCATCCCGCTCACTCACCTATGCTAGCCTTCTTGCTTTTCCATGGATGTATCAAGCTCACTTCCAGACTTTTCACCTCCACCTACAGCTCCTCCCCATACACATTTGCTTGGCTCACTCCCTGGCCTTCAGGTCTTTGCTCAAGTTCACCAGAAGGACCTTGATCTCCCTATTACAAATAGCAAGCACTCCCGTCCCACCCCACCCCCATACTATCCCCTTCCCTGTTTTCCTTCCCCTCTTGTCACCTCTCCCCCAGCTGTGCTCCAGAGAGGAGTGCAGGCTTTGTTTCGCTCACTGGTGTATCTCAAGTGCTTAGAACAGCCGCGCTGACATACGGTAAGTACTCAATAAATACTTTGTGAGTGAATGAATAAATGAATTGTTTCAAAGAAATTTAAAAGAAAAAAATGATGGAAAAAAAAGTCTTTAAATTGAGGCCCAGCCGATTGAGTCTCCCAGCTGCACTTGCCCAAGGGTGTCCAGAACAGTCCCTGTACCTTGTTCTTGGGAGAGGCCAGAGTGGAGGGCCAGGTCGTCAGGGGGACAAGGAGTAGGAGAAAGGGCTGGTCTGGTAGGATACCAAGCATCCAGAAAGAAAAAAAAGCTTCTTAACCGAGATATTTTTATTTAAGACAATCAATGATACCACCAACCAGATACTATCAGTACATTATCTACATATCCTTTTTAAAATAAACATGTTATCCATCATTGCTTTGACAAAAGTTGTTATTCAGGTATAAAAATAAGGAATCACAATAAAAACTTTTTACAAGAAAAAAATCACAATAAAATAAAAAATGAATAAAAACAAACAGGTAAGCATCATTGTCAATGTTAGAAACATTTACTCTTGATAATATTCCCCATAACTTTCCTCTCCTCCTTGTGTCTAAATTAACTTCAACTTATGAAGTAATTTAAAAGTGATTTTTAATTGCTTATTAAGTAGAAATAGAATCAGTGACAATTATTAATTAAAACATTAAACAACCCAGTTACCTTATTTAAAGGATCATGATGCATTATCCCTTTCCTGTCATATGAAAAGCCTCAGTTACTCTTGACCATAGACACCACACAGCGTCCTAATAGAACACAGGCTGCATCCCACCTGTGTGTGGCACCTCCCCTACATCTGCTGGACCGCTCTT